CTATTTTTTTTTTTTTTTTTATCTTATTTTTACATAAAAAAAAAAAAAAAAAAAAATTAAGAAAAATGAGAAACTCATAAATTAAACTTTCATAAATTTTTAATAACTTTACATATATATTTATAAGAAGTACATGTTTAATATATCTATATAAAAAAATTATTTTGTACAATTCTTAGCATTATATACATTATGTCAATTTTTTTTAGTGAAACACCCCATTAAACTAAATAATAAATAAGTTCACAATCATAATAAATAAGTATTCATATATATATTTTATTTTTAACATATTTTTATTTATATATTTATGTTTTTTATTTTATTTATTTATTTTTTTTCATACAATAAATTAAATAACAAAAAAAAAAAAAAAAAAAAAGCAAGAAAAAATTAAAACAAAAATATAATATTGAAAATGTTTCAAAAAAACATATATATAAAAAAATATAAAAACATGATGTATTATTATCTTAATTGTAAATATTAAAATAAATGTGTCACAATAAAAAAAAAAAAAATAAAGCATAAAATGTTTTTTAAATTAGATTAAGGTTTGTTAATAAACTTTCTTTGATCTATTCATATAAATATAATGAATTACTTTTTTTAGAAATTTATTTATTCTTTTTTTAGAATTTATATAAATTACACACATTAAAATGTATAGATCTATTATATTTGTTTATTTATTTTTTTTTATATAATTTGTAAAATTTTTTATTTTTCTCCTTTGTATCCACGTTTCACGTGTCTGCAATCCCATATTTGTAATTTTTTATAATTTTAAAACATATGTTTTTCATCTAAAAATAATAAATTACGTTTTGCACATTTGAAGTCATATATTTTTAAACATCAGAAATAGATGTAAACGCATAATAAATGATATGCAAATTAGAATAACTTTAAAAAAATTAAAACTTCAATTGTAATTTAAAAAAAAAAATAAATAAATAATATGAAATGATTCTATGCATTTTTAGCATAAACTTCAAGTGTAATTATGAAGTCTTCCAAAATTATTATATTCTATTTTTTGTTTTATTTTATTTTTTTTATAAAAATATTAAAACGGAAATTTTATACTAAATAAAATAATAAAAAGACAAAATGAAGATACATTAAAATAATAATAATCATATTATGATATATACTCAAAATTCATAACAACTTTCGAAATCATCTTCATTATCACTGTCCTCTTCTTCATTTGATTTTTTGTTTTTCTTAGAAATTTGAATTAAACCTTTTTTTTTCTTCTTTTTTTTTTTTATATCATATTCTTCATCTAATGAATCTGTTGATTCTTCGTTCTGATTTTCTATTCCATTTACTTCATTTATATCAGTTTCTTCTAATTTTCTTTTCTTTTTAATATTATCATTACTAACAAATGTTAAATAATTAACTGCATCATACATTTGCCATATGTTTTCTAAAACCTTATTTTCATTATTTATTCTTCTTAGTTGTATAGGATTTACTGCTGATACCATTCCTACTGATATTAAGTTATATATATCGTAATAATTAAAGGGCCCATATATATTATTATCAAGATCATTATTCCATTTGAATTGCCATTGTATATCTACATTTTCTTTGTATTCTTCTAACTTTTTACATAAAGCTTCAAATTCACTTTTTGTTAAAAAATAAACATTTTTATATTCATTAGTTAATTTTTGTGTTAAATCAATTAAATTGTTAAATCTTCTTTCTATTGTTTTATAATCTAGTGCTATTTTTAGATAAGTTTCTTCTAATTTGTGTAATTCTTTTAATTTATCATTGTTAACCAAATCTTTATTATTTTCTTCTTTATTATTTATTAAATTTTTATTAATTGTTTCTTCACATACACTATTCTTATTATTTTCATTAATACCTTCTTCTTTACACATATTCTCATTTAATGCATTCTTTTTCTTATGTAATGAATCTATAATTGCATCATGTTTTATTTCTTCTTCCATTTTTATATTTCCACTTTTTACATCTTCTTTTATTTTATCTTCACTTTTCATATCTTCCTTTATTTTATCTTCATTTTTTATCTCTTCTTTTATTTTATCTTCGTTTTTTATCTCTTCTTTTATTTCTTCTTCATTTTTTATCTCTTCTTTTATTTTATCTTCATTTTTGAAATCTTCTTTTATTTCTTCTCCATTTTTTATATCTTCTTTTATTTTATCTTCATTTTTTAAATCTTCTTTTATTTCTTCTTCATTTTTTATATCTTCTTTTATTTTATCTTCATTTTTTATATTTTCTTTTATTTCTTCTTCATTTTTTATGTCCTCTTTTATTTTATCTTCATTTTTTATATCTTCTTTTATTTCATCTTCATTTTTTGTGTCCTCTTTTATTATATCTTCATTTTTTATATCTTCTTTTATAATATCATCATTTTTTGTGTCCTCTTTTATTCTATCTTCATTTTTTATATCTTCTTTTATATCATCATCATTTTTTGTATCTTTTATTTCATCCTTATTTTTTATATCTACTTTTATTTCATCTTCATTTTTTATATCATCTTTTATTTCATCCTTATTTTTTATATCTACTTTTATTTCATCTTCATTTTTTATATCATCTTTTATTTCTTCATTTTTTATATCTTCTTTTATTTCGTCTTCATTTTTTATATCTTTTTTTTTAATATTTATTTGTAATAAATTTTTTTTATTTTGATTTTTATAATTGAAATGAAAATTATTTGAATTGCTACCCTCATGGTTAAAATTTATATTAAATAATGAAATATTATTCCCCTGACAAATGGAAAGAGAGTTTAATTTTTCTATTTTAAGTTTACATTCATTTAAGTAGTTTTTATATAATTTCAAATCATTTTTATATCTAATCATTGCTTTAATTGGCGTTTCTTTATCTATTAATAAACAACAGAGAGAATAAAGAGCATCATAAATATTAACTGTAAGTAAGTTATTATTTAAATTATTATTTGATTCATCATATTTTGAATTTATTTCATTATGTATTTTCGTTTTTAATTTCTGATCAGAAAATGTGGAAAGTGGATCTTTTTCATCAACTGATTTTAACCAAGCTTCTTCAATATCATCATTGTCTGATTCATTATAAATATAGTTCCCATATTTGTCAATATATCCTTCTTTTAATTCATTCTTCATGTTAAATGGTTCAATATCATAGCCAAAATAATATTTGCTATAATTTGATGTTTTTTCTTCTGCATTGGTAATAGCTGTATGTATGTCATTTATTTCAAAAGAGCAATCCTCATTAAAAGATTGATTAAATTTTTCTCTTTTTAAATTCAAAAATTTCAGGTTATCCGTTTTCGGATTATCTTTTACACTTAATCCATTTTCAAATGAGTTTTTTTTTATTTGTTTATATCTTTCCTTTCCTGTTGTATCCTTTTCATAAAATTCATTATATTTATTTTCTTTTTCTCCGTTTATATATATATCATCATTCTTGAATTCTTTTTCATCAAAATCACAATTATACATTTCATTATAAAAGCATTCAAAATAATTAAAATTGTTTAAGGAAAGATTAAAATAATTATTTTCATTTTCATCTTTTTCATAATATATTGTTTCATTTTTATCAGAAAATTGAACTTTTTTCTTCTTTTTTTTTTCTACTCCATTGTTATTTTTGGTTATATCATTTTCTATTTTATCCATATCAAACCCCATAGTTTCTTCATTTAACATTTTCTTATAAAAATTGATAAAAAAAAACGAAAGAAATAATATATATAATTAAAATTAATATGATCAAAGAAGAAAATATATAAAATAATAATATTTTATATTATTATTTCAAATATATAAAAAAAAGGAAAAATTATAAAGATATTTCTATCCAAGTTTTTAATCAATGAATTAAATTCATTATTTTTTTTAAATTAATTATTTTTTCTTGATGTTTAAATAGTTAATAGAAAAAAAAAAAAAAAAAAAAAAGATAAAAAAAATAGAATATGTATTATTATTCTCATTTTTATATACTAAAGTAGTCTAATTTTTAAACACTTTTTATTTTCAAGATTTGGCTTAAAAAAAAAAAAAAAAAATAAAATAAAATAAAATACAAAAAATTGGAGTGATTGCTTTTTCTAAAAATATTAAAGATTGTTTTAACAACAGCATTAAAAAAAAATGTAATGTATTTTTTAATATTAAAAATTATTTATATAACTAATTTAAAAAGAAATAAATAATTTATTTTAATAGCAAAGAGTCCTGTTAAGTTAATTTAAAAAAAACAAAAAAATAAAATAAAAAAAAAATTTATATTAAATTTTTTTTTTTATTAGAGTTAAATTTTTAAAAAATCTTATGGAATAATGTGGATAAACATTTTTCAGACATTTATTGTTTTTATAAAAAAATTTATTCAATAAGAAAAATAAGAAATATTAAAAAAAAATAAAGTGTTTAGATAAAATTATTAAAAAAGAATAAATTTTATTTTATTTTAGTTCATATTTATTTTTAAAACGTACTTTTATTTTAAATGATGCATAAATTAAATCAACTACATACTGAATTCAGAAATGAAAAGAAAAAGAAAAAGAAATAAAATAAAAACAAAACAAAACAAAACAAATGAAAATAAAAATATAAATCAAATCTTTAAATTATTTTTATAAAAAAAAAGAAAAAATTGTAAGTTAAAGTAAACAAGAAAAAAATCTAACTTAAAATTTATGTAAAAGGAAAATATTCTCATAATATAATATTTATATGATAATATTTCAACAATTTTTACATTATGCTAAAAAATTATTATACTCTTATTGTTTATTTCTTTTTTATTACTTTTCAAAAAATCATGTTTCCTTTTTTCAATGAAGTATTTTTTTTTCTTATACATGAATAAATTTATATAATTTTCCAGGAATTACTTATTAAAATTAAGTAACCAATTTGGAACTGTTTGATCATATTTCTTTAAATGTGCAATCAATTTATCAATAATTTTTTTATTCGAGCTATTAAAATAATTTATGGCTACTCCGTTTTTCCCAATTCTTCCTGTTCTTCCAATTCTGTGCATATATTGATCAAATTCCGAAGGTAAATCATAATTTATTACTAATTCTAAATCAGGAAAATCTAATCCTCTAGCAGCAATAGATGTAGCTATTAATATTTGAAATGCTTTTTCTCTGAATTTTTCAAAAACCATTTTTCTTCGAACCTGAATATTTTGTACAATAATATTTTAAAAATTTAATCACAATTTTACATATATACATAATTCATATAGAGATATGTATTAAACATATAATGTTAACAAAAATACATGAACATAAAAATCATGATATGCCAGATATATAAATGAAAAATCTATTATTTTTTAAAAGTAATTTCTATTTACTTGATTCATCCTTCCATGCAAATAATTTGCATCAAAACCCTTTGACTTCAAAAAGTTAAAAATGTGATTGATAGAACTCCTTAATTCTACAAAAATTATCGCTTGCCCTTGTAAATTCCTGATATCTCTAAGAAGTTCATTTAATTTAGATTTCATAGGTACATATTTAACAATCTGTAGTAAAAAAAAAGGTTATCATTAATTTTTAGTTATATATATACTTTTATAAAATTACTAATTTATAATAAACTTATACCTTCTTAAATATATATATATATATTCATTTAATAATTTTACCTGTTTTATTGAATTTTTAACTTCCCTTTTTTGTTTAATATCTAAATAAATATATGGAGTAGCAATAAAATTTTGCATAACATCTTTTAATTTATCCGATAATGTTGCAGTAAAACATATAGTTTGTCTTGAATCGTTTGGGCATAAATCTTTTTGAAAAATTATTTCATCCATTTGATTTTTGAATCCAAGGGATATCATTTCGTCAGCTTCATCAAAAACTAAATATTTAATAAAAGAAAGACTAATTTTACAGTTATTTAATAAATCTAGTAACCTTCCTGGGGTTGATATTATTATGTCCGCCTGTTTTTCATTTATTTGCGCTATCTAAAAAAAAATTATATAAATAAAAATATATATATATATAAAATATATATCAACAAAAATAAAAATTCTAAAAGATAAACTTATCAGTAAAAAAAAAAAAAAAAGTTTTGTAATAATGTAAATAATTTTCAAAAGAAAAAATTTTGATAATACTTGTTCTTTCATTGTTTCCCCTCCATAAAAGACCATGCTTACTAAATATAAATTTTTTGTTAGACTATTTACCTAATAATTTATATATATTTATTTTTTTGTTTTCTTTATATTATTAGTTCTTTTATATATTTTTTCTTTATTTTATTTTTTTTAAATAATGTATATTATATATCTTTGTATTTTGTTTTATTTTGTATATATAATGTTATAATTTATTTTATTTCATGTCATTAAAAAAATATGAAATTTTTGCAAATGAGAAAAAATTACCTCATTATAAATTTGAATAGCTAGCTCTCGAGTAGGACAAAGAACTAAGCACAAAGGAGATATGCAAGCATATGATCCAGGAAAATGAGGTCTTAAAATCTGTTCATCTTTTTTTAAATTAGAAATTATTGGACACAAAAATGAAAAAGTTTTCCCACTCCCTGTTTGAGAAGAAGCAATAAGATTTATTTTTTTTTTTATTATTGGAATCGAATACTTTTGAACTGTGGTCATCTTGTTATATCCTTTCGTACATATATTATTATATAAAATATCATCACATATTGAACTAAAAAAAAAAAAAAAATTATATATTTATATATATAAATATATAATATATATATATCATTATAATATATAAACAAAATACTTTAAATCTTCTATATTATTTAATGGGTCAGGAACTATAATTTTTTCTTTTCCATATATTTCACATTTAACAAAATAGCAATCATCATCAAATATGTTACATTCATATTTTTTTTTATGTTTATCATTTTCTTCATCATATTTACTATACTTTTTATCATTATATTTATGATCTTTTTTATCATCATATTTACTATGTTTTTTATCATTATATCTATAATCTTTTTTATCATAATATTTACTACACTTTTTATCATTATATTTATGATCTTTTTTATCATCATATCTACTATGTTTTTTATCATTATATCCATGATCTTTTCTATTATCATATTTACTATACTTGGCACTATCATACTTATTATATTTTGTATGATCATATTTTTTATTTTTTCCATCATCATATTTATAACTCTTTTTTTCGTCGCATTTACTCTCTTTTTCGTTATTACCTATAATGTTTCCTTCCTTTTTTTTTGATGTTCTATTTAAGTGAAATTCATCTTTTTTTAAGCCATAACTTTTATCTTGTATTTCTGATATATTCTTACTCATATATATGTTGTTTTGTTTTTCATACAAATACTTTTTCTTATCCTCATGAGAATTGTCTTTTTGATCATTAGAATTTTCTTTCATTTTATTAAAATCATCATTTGTATCCAGTAATAAACTATTTTGATTTTTTATATCCAAAAAATTATTATCCACGTAAAAATTATTCAATTTGTTGTGCTTTTCATTATGCAAACTATTATAATGTATAAAGTTTGCATTTTCTGAAAATTTGATTTCCTCATTAAAATTATTATTTAAATAAGAATAATCATGGTTAAAATTTTGCTGTGAAGAATTTAACATATTTATGTAATCAATATAATTACTTGTATTGTCTATATTTCTTGAAGAATCCATGTTTTTTTCTTTTTCTTTATTTATATTAATATCATTATCAAAAATTAAATTATTTCCTTTTGTGAAATTAGAGAAATTATTATTTAAATTCCTCCATTCATCAAGATTATTATTATTATTATTATTATTATTAGCTAAAAAATTATTCATATAATTTGAGTCGTATGGATTTCCGTTGATATTATTTACATTGTTTATAATTTTATTTAAATTATTATTATTTCTATCAATTATCTCGTTTATATTATTATTTAAGTTATTTATATTTATACTGTTACTATTAGTATTCATTAAATTAATACCATCATTAACATAATTAAAATAGCTAAATTTATTTTCAAACTCATCTTCTTTGTTATCAGTATTCATTAAATATTTATTTATAACATCATTTAAGGAGCTGTTTTCATTATTTATATTTTTATCTGTACACTTAGAATTTATGTTATCTGAATTTAATAAATGTTTATTTTGTATATCTGGCTCACACATTCCGTAATTGTTAATATCATAATTTTGAATATTTGTAATGACATTTATACTTGTTTTATTTTCATATAAGTCATTTTTAGTTATATTATAGTCGTTTAATTTTAGATTATTAACTTCATTTATATTATTATTTTGATTAACATCTACAGATTTATTATTATGTATATCATAATATTCTTTTGATATATTTTCTTTTGCAATAAAAAAGTCATTAATTTTACCTGCACATTCATTTATATTTTCAGAATTTTTATTTACGAATTTTTTGTTTACATTTTTTTTATCATTCAAGTTCTCATGGATCCCATTTGAATAAATGTTTAAATCATATTCTAAATAATTTACATTTTCGTTAGCATTATTTGGCTTAAACATGTATTTATTTTCATTTAAAGAAATATGACTTTTCAAGTCATTATCATTATAACCTAATTTATTTACATGATCAGTTGTTTTTTTTTTTTCATTAATATTAGATATATAATATTCTTTCTCACTGGATTTGTTATTATTTTCTTCATAAAAATTTTCCTTAATTATTTTGTCATTTTTATCTTTTTTTAAAGTACTTAAATTATTTTTTGAATTATAAAAAGAATGATTTATGACTTCTTCTTCATAATTATTATCATATGATTTTTCCATTGTTTTTGCTAAAATAAAACTTTAACATATTTACTAATTCTTGTATTCATATATATATATATATATATATATATATATATATATATATATATATATATATATTTTTTTTTTTTTTTTTTTTTTTACAAAAGTTTATTATATTTTTGCATCAATATAAAAATTTATATGCATGTTTAACATTAATAGTGTTTATAAAATATTTGAAAAAAAAAAAAAAAATATATATATATATATATATATATAAGTTAAACTTACAATAAATATTTAATTTTTATAATATTCTATTGCATTTAATTATATCAATATTTTAGTATTTTGCATAATACAATATTTTCCATTTCACCGTTCTTATATATCTTAAGACAAAAATAAAGAAATCAATAAAAATAGAAATATGGTATTATTTTCTTATGAATTTTTATTAAAATATTTTTTTTTTGACACTGTTTATTATTTGGAAATCTAAGTCAATATTAAAAAAAAAATATATATATTTTGTAGTACATTAAAATATATTACATAGATTAATTGCATATATTTTTCCTTTGCTAAATCATTATTGATAAATTGAATTATCAAAATTTATAGTTTTTGGAGAAATAATTATGAAAAAAAATTATTAAGAAAAATAAAAATTCTTTTTTGAATCTTTTTTTCTGTGTGTAGATATTTAAATGTGCAAAGTTAAAAATATTTATATATATATATAATAAGAGTATATAAATTTAAATTATTAAATATTTGAAAACAAAAGTTTATATTTTTTATTTGAAAACTTATAGAAAAGAAGAATTTATATTTTATAAATAATATGTACGCATTTATGTATTTTCTAATTTATTTTTTTTACCTACATACAAACGTACATATTTTTATATATGTATAATAATATTACAGATGCGTTTTATTAACCGAAAACATGAATACAAATTACCAATTAAAAATTTTTAATTATAAAAAATAAATATAAAATAAAAAATTTATTATACAAAAAAGTTCTTTTGCTTATATTTGAACCGAAAAAACTTAAATTATAAAAAATGAATGTTAAGTAAAAATACAAAATAAAAACTAAATAAGAAAAAATAAACATAAAAAAATTTTATTGTATTACCATTAAAGATGCAAAAATACATATAACTAAAAATTTTTATTATAAATATTATAACTACTTTTTTATTTCTTTTTTTATCAATAAAAAAAATAAAATAAAATAATAAAAAAGTAAGTATAAAAATAAAGTATGATCCTTTTTTATGTTTTGTGATATATTTTTAAAGTCTTATTTATTTTTATTTTTTTTTTTTTTGATAATTGAAAATGTAAAGTTTTTAATAAAACTACTTTTAATTTTCATTACCAAATTCTAATAAATAATATGTACTTACATTACAAATTAAATTTATATGTGAATTATATTTTCATATTTTTTATAAATTAAAAAAAAATTAAATTGAAATAATTTGTACTTTTTTTTCTTTTTTTTTGTTAAAGCAAGCTGTTTTGTTTCCCTTTAAAATTTTATTATACTTATGTTTTTCTTTAATTATAAATTCTTCATAACATTCCTTAGAATATTTTATTTTTTTTTGTAATTTTTCATGATTTAAGTTAAAATAAAATGTTAAATTATCACAAAAATAAAAATCATTTTTATTATAATTATTTTTAAATACATTAATTCCCTTATTACAATAAAAACTTTGAGCTATATATTTTATATTGTCTTCATCTAATATAAAATCAGCATTTAAAAAATAAAAAAGGCCTCTTGAAAAGAGATCTTTTGAAAACATATTGATAAATTTTTTATTGTTATATTTTCTTTTTAATAATAAATCGCGGCTCATATTAGCATTAATAAAATTATTATCCATTTTTTTATTATTATCATTGAAAATAGTTTTAATAATTCCATCTTCTGAACTTTTGGAGAAATTAGGATGTATATTTGAATTAAAAAAATTACTAATATGATTATCTAAATTATCTCTACTTAAAAAAGAAATGCTTACCTCCTTATCATTCTCCCTAATATATTTATTACTTATGTAAGAATAAAATAATTCACTATCTATACATATTCCATAATCATCAATTATTAAATCAAAAATATTGGAAACATTACTATTAAATTTATCTATTTCCTTATTTTTTCCATTAGTATATTTCTCATTTACATTGAGGAAATTTTTTATTGAAATTTCATTTAATTTTGTTTCATTTTTAAAAATATTTTCGTTAGCTAAATTACAATCCAATGTGCTCTTACAAGAAGACAATGGAAAAGTTTCTTCTTTCTTGTTAATATTTTTTTTTGAATTTAGTATACTATCAGAAATTAAATCATAAACAACTTCATTATTTTTATAATCAGAAGTTTTATCATACTGAGAATTATAAATATTACTGCTTATACTTTTATTTAAGCTATTTTTATTTTCTCTTACTTTTCCGTTTAAGATATCCGCAAATTCATGGTTTTCCTTTTTATTTACATCATTACAATTATTTTCTAATTCATAATTATATTTATGTTCTTTAATTGTATTATTTTTTTTAAGTTCATTTTTATTCACAAATAAAGAATTTCTATCATTATTTTTTATACTTTTAGATAAACATAAATATTTATAAAATAATTTATTATAGTATATATGAATAACTTTATTATTATTAAAAGTGTTATAAAAATATTCATTTAAATCATTTGTATCTTGATTAAAAAAATTAAACTTTATAAAAATTACCTTTTTTTTTTTATTTATTTTTTTTTTTTCCATATTTTTTTTTTCATTTAAATTATCAATTGTGCTATCACTTTCCGCATTTTCGCTTGATCTTTTTTTTGAAAAAAAATACAAAAATTTTTCATTTATGTTAGGCATGCTTCTACTCCTTATACTTTTACGCCTAATACCACTATAAATACCTTGTAGTACATCAATAGAATTTAGTGCATCTTTATCATTACTAAAAAAAACATTATTATCACTTTTTGAATTTACATAACAATCTAATATTTCATCATTATTCACTTGGCTATTCAAAGAATATTTTTTGTTAATTAAATAATTTTTCTTCTTATCATGTTTAATAGGTTTACGATTCTCATAAGAATCTGTTAATTCATTTTCTGTTGTTTCATAAAAAGTTTTTGTTGAATCATTTTCATCCTTTTCATTAAGCTATATATGTATATATATATATATATATTATTATTATAACGTTTTAAAATAATAAAGATAAATATATACAAAATAAAAAATTTATTTTTATTATAAATATATAATGCCTTCTAAGCTATTACATAAAAATATATATAATAAAATTTATTTAGTTTATGTAAATTTTATTATAATTTATTAAATATTTATTAATAATTTTATTTGTATCTCCATAATATATATGTATCATGTATTAATATATATTTTATTTATATTTTCTTTTTTATAATTACTATTTCTTTTAAATATGAAATAGTTTTTAATTCATTATCTAGTGCTCTATTCTTAAATCTAACGCTATTGTAATGTTCCTACAAAGTATTATAATAAAGATATATATATATATATAAACTGTAAAACATAATACATATATATATTAACGAAATATCTTACACTAGAAGCATAATGTAATTGAATGCATTTTTTATCATCACTGTGGTTTTTTATTTCAAGTATACAACCATTTTCTTGGTATATTAAAATATTAACCTATGATTATTAAAAAATAAGCAACATTTTATATATTGTAAATTATGAATAAAATAAATGTAAAATATATTTAGAATTATAGAAGAAAAAAAAAAAAAAAAAAAATAATTAAAAGTAATGAATAACTATTATAATTATTAATAAATAGGAATATTTTAATTTTATTTTATTATTATTTTTTTTTTTTTTTTTTTCACATTATAAATCTCCCCTATTGCTTGAAGTTCTAATTGGCCTCCCCATGTTCCATCTAAGCTTATTCTTAAGAAAAAAAGAGAAAAATCATTAAATATATATTTATAAAAAATAAAAATGTATATAAATTATTATACATGTTATTTTTCAATCTTATTATAATGTACCTTTCAATATAAGATTTATAACTTTCGTCATATTCAATGAAATTCTTATATTCTTCTTCCTTTTTAGATAAATGATCCACCTATTAAAAATATAATAAAAAAAGTAATACTTTTTAGTTTTTTTTTTTTTTTTTTTTTTTTTTTTTTGATAAAAATGAATTAAGAAAAATATATTAATTATAATTATTTCTATATAAAAATTATATTATCTACCACTTTTTTTCTTATTTCTTTATAATTATCTTCATGATTATATAACTGATCAGAAACTGCTCTAAATAAACAATTACCATCTGTTCTTATACTTTTTATATAAAAATTTTTTTTGAAATTGTTATCATAATAGTCATTTATCTATGTATGTCAAAAAAATATTTTTTTTTATAAAATAAATTACAAAGGAGAAAAAATGTTATATATATAACTTATTATATATAATAAATTCAGATTAAAAATATTTATCTTGTTCTAATATGTAATTTCTTTTTGTCTTTTTTAACCAATGAATATACTATTTCCCCTTCAGATTTTTCAGTGTCTTCATAACTCTATAAAACAAAAAAGTTATAATATATATATATATATACATATATAAATATATATATATATATATGTATATTTTTACTTTATTCTTTTTTTCTTTAATTTTTTTCCTTTTATGATGATTATTTCTCTTTTGCTTTTTCATATTTTTATAAACTTAATAAAAACATTCATTTACATCAACAATACCATATATATAAAAATAAAATTTTTTAGTTATTTCTTTGCTTTTTTTATTAAATGAATATAATAATTTGCAGATCTCTATGTGTATAATTTACACATTTGCCGTTATTTGAAAATGGAAAAAGAAAAAGAATAAATATATAAACAAAAAAAAAAAAAAAAAAAAAAAAAAAAAAGTTAAAAAGAATTTATGAATTAAAACTGTTTATAAGTTGCAATGAACATAATCTAGCACTTTTTTTTTTTATAATTTTTTTGTACACGTCTAATATTTAAAATATTGAAAAAAAATAACTTTTTTTTTTGTATAACTTTAAAAATGTAAAATTGTAAATGAATATTATAAATAATTATAATATTGTTTTATTATAAATGAATATATTTTTTTTTTATAATAAATGATACATAAATATCCCATAATTCTTAAATAGAAAAACAAAATAGAAATTATTTTTTTCTTAAAAAAAAAAAGAATAACAAAAAGTTATTCTAGTTAATCATGTAGTTCCAAAAAAATTTTTAAATATTTTTAATTACGTAGCGTAAAAATGCATTCAATTTTATTTTATTTTATTTTATTTTATTTTTTTTTTCCTTTTTTTTTATAACTTACAATTTTAAACAAAACACCAATAAAAGAAATAAACTTATTTTTCGCGGATGCAGTTCATATATTTAAAATAATGACATTTATTATTTTAATAAAAAAGTAAACATTTGTGTTGCATGTTTTCATATAAACGTAATATTAAATATATATGATTTTATACAAATTATTTTGTTTCACATATTTTATTTTATTTTATTTTATTTTATTTTATTTTATTTTATTTTATTTTATTTTATTTTATTTTATTTTATTTTTTTTTTTTTTTTAGGAAGAAATATGGGTCATGGAATTTTAAAATTTAAAAAAGCTTTAGATGCAACTTTAGTGTTATTAAACTATCAAGGAATAAAATTAGGAGAAAAAAATATTATTTTAACTGAAGCTTTTAGAAATGAACATTTAAAACAAAAAAAACACATTTGTAATGTTTTAGAAGCAAAAAATTATTAAAAATAAAATAAATAATATTATATTTAAAAAAAATGAGAAATGTATAAATATATATATATTATATAAAAAGAAATATTTATTAATTTTAAAAATCAATTAAAAATATCTTAAATTATCAAAATTCATTTATTAAAAAATATATTAAAAAAAAAAAAACAAATTTATAATTATAATTTTAGACATATTAAAAATATATATATATATATATATATGTATATATATATGTATATATAAAAATAATTCCTTTATTTTTTGATTATTTGTTATTATTACATTTTTTTTTTTAATTTCATTTTATTCCTTTTTTTTTTTTTTTTTTTTTTTTTTTTTTTTTTTTTTTTTTTTTTTTTTTTTGTTTTTGTCCTTTAATAAAAAAATTCTAGCTAATAAGTAAAATTATTTTTTAATCTTTTTCTTTTTTTTTTTTATACAATTTAATTTTTTTTTTTTTTTTCTTTTTGATCACTTTATTTTTTTATATACTTTTGAAGCATTTGTATTTCTAATAATTCATCCTATAATATTTACTAATTTTTTTTTTTTTTTTTTTTTAATTAATCATGTAAAAATTTTAAAATAGTATGTACTGATTCACTTAATTGCTCCTTATAATTTTTTGTTACATCTATTTTGTTTAAAGGAATATGGTAAGTTTTTACAAACCGGTTAAATATCCATCTTCTTTGTTTTTTCGCATATTTATATGTTTTTCTAATTAAATTATCTTTGCATACGTTAAATAAATTATCATCATTAATTTTATTTATTTTTTTTTCAATATAAGCGTCAAATTCTTTATATGCAATACTTTGATTTATTCCTTTATAAGATGCTTTGATATTTCTATTTTTGTTTAATTCTTTTAATTTTATAACTTCGTCAAGTAACCCTTTTGAAATCATTAAATCAACCCGTTTTTCAATTTCTTTTTTCAAAGTATCATCATTATCATAGTCTAAATAAAAAAAACATGGTATATATCTCATTTCATCCAATTTATTATTTTTATGATTCTTAATTTTTATTAGTTCACTATGTTTTTTGTTATAAGTATAGAAAATATCAAGACTTCTACAAATTCGTTTTCTATCATTTTTATGCAATTGATTAGCTCTTTCTTCATCTACTTCTTTTAATTTTTCGTAGAGTTCATCATTAGTTTTGTCCTCATAATTATCTTTCTCACATTCCTGTTCATGTTTTTCTTTTTTTTTATCTTTTTCATCTTTTAAATCTATTACAGATTCCCATAATAAAGATTCAATGTATAATAATGTTCCACCTGTTATTATAGCTAATTTGTTATTATAATTAATATTCTTAATAATTGGAATAGTGTAATTAATAAATTTATGAACATTAAATGTATCATTATGATGACATATATCTAATAAATGATGCTTTATATCTCTTTTTTCTTCCTCATTAATTTTTGCTATCCCTATATTAAAATTCTGATAAACTTGCATAGAATCAGAACTAATAATTTCACTATGTATATTATATTTTAATAATTCTTCTGATAAATCTATACTAAATTTTGTTTTTCCACTACATGTTACTCCAATTATTAATATTATCTTTTCTTTTTTCTTTTTATTATTACCATATTTATAAAAATTCGGATTTATAATTCTATCATCTTCACTTATATTCTTATTTTCGTTTTTATATTCTGTTAATTTATATTCATCATCCATATTTTTATTTTTATCATATAACATCAATCCTGTTTTTTTTGTGAAATTTCCTTTACATAAATACATAACATTTTTTCTTTTCTTTTTAGGATAAAATATTTTATCTATGAATTTTTTTTTATTTTTACTTAAAACATTATTGTTAAATGGGTATTGTAATTTATAATTATAATATATAGGATATGTATAGTTTCTTTTCCTTTTAAAACTACTGAAAATATTGTAATTTTTAAGTTTTATTTTGTATATTTTTTTTTCCTTAGTTAATATTATGTTTTTATTTTTTATAATAAAACAGTCAATTAATATACTAGAAGTTTTAAAACATAAAAGAATTATTAAAAAAAAATATATTATATAAATATATAAATTACAAAACATTTATATTTAATCTATTAAAACATTAAATATGTTTATAATTATTATATATATAAATTAAAATTATTATAAATTAAAATTTACAAAATTATAAATTATGAATTAAAAAAAAATAAATAAATATATATATAAATATATATATGATTGATAAAATGTTTTATCAGGAGCTTCATCACTTCAAATTTTTTCTATAAATTTTTATATTTAATTTATTTTTATATATTTAATTATTTTAAAATTTAATAAACATTTTTCCTTTAAACGTACAAACAAAAGAATATATCTTTGTATTTATAAAAAAAAAAAAAAAAAAAAGTTATATATTTTTTTTCTTATTAAAGTATATAAAATTTATCAAAGTTATTTTTATATATATTTGTCTTAGAAAAAAATTGTTTAAAACTAATTTTTGGTAAAATTTTTTGAAATATTCTCCATAAGTTTGTATTATTTTTTTTTATAGATAAGCTATTTACAAATAATA